ATATATGCATATATCGCATTTCATTTGGCCGTGTTGATCTAATGACCTTTCCTGGGCAGTGAGCGAGCGCAGTTGCCCCCACTCATGCATATAAATGATTCTTACACATTTTCTGCACCTACGATTAGACAGACCGGCAGAATCGAGTTTCACAAAAAAGCCAGCGAGCATACTGTCCTTTCTGTCTTTCCGTTCTCCTTGATAAATAAGTGTTTTCAGCTTTAGATTGCAAATTTGCAACTATTCAGATTCACGGGTGCTCGATGGTGTCAAAAAAGGACGAGTCCCAGGATTACGGCTCAAAATATCGAAGGAGCTCGCAAATAGCGGATAGGGAAACAATGTGAAGTACAAGAAATAACACAAACGCTAACACAACGCAACCGACCTCAAGCTTCTTCTTTTATTCACCATGGCCAGGATACGCTGCATGACCATGCTGATAAGACTCGTAGTCATGGATACAATGGAGATGACTGCTATTCTGTCTACAACTGTAGACGGGGTGGTCAAGCTGTTGAGATGTGGTTCATTGAACGATTCTCCAATGTAGACGTACGAAACCATCAAACCAGGAATTACACACTGCAACCATTTGTCACCTAGTCAATAATCATACATAGTTGCAACATAATATAGTAGTATAGAACTGGAAAACTACTGCAAGGGAGGCAACCACCGGCTCCGGTTTTGGGCGTGGAGAGCCATTCGCGAAGTTCACTGTGTAGAGTTCAAGGGCATTCACCAGGTGGTCGAAAGATTTATCAGTGCCACATGCCAACTTGCAGAGTGATTTTATAATATTTTTGAAAACGCACAGAACTTCTTTTCGATACACAACGGCAAGCCGACTGTGCTCTACTACCGGATTGTGCTCAACCGGGAAACTACACAAGGTGCCATCTCAACTTTGAGGGCTAAAGTTAGTGGAGACAAGGGTTGAAACACGAACAGGGCCCAGCTTTGAATCGGAAACAAAAGAATGGTCAAAGAAGCTCCAAAGCTCAGTGAGGGCGGCTGTATAGCTTCACAACCAATCGGATGTCTCTACCCTATCCGATTTTAATAACCAGAGATCATAACCTGCAGTGTGCAATATGTCGGCTTGAATATGCGAACCCACGCAGATGTGCGTGTTTGATGCCCAATATTTTATAAATTTCTAGCAAACTTCGCACCGCTGGAAAAATGTAGATGACTCCCGATGTCTTCTTCCACGACTCGTATGTGTTGAAGTATATGGTGGCTACAGCCCGCTCAATGCTCATCAACAGTTGCAAGTTAAGCATGTGAAGTAAAGAGTACAGTGTAAGAATGTTGTTTATGACGCAGAACGTTCGATTCGGAAACATATCGCATGGCTCCCGAGGCCATATCCAAAGCACTGCTTCGTATATCTGTAATTTCTTCCTAGGTGTATACTGTAACACGAATTCAAGATGTTGTGTCACATTCGACATCACAGAATAAATTCCTTCAAGGCCTTCAAACTCAACAGGAAATAGGAGCTGGGAAATGTGAGTAGACTAGTAGCAAAGGTAGACTAGCAGCGAAGTAGCAAAAGTCAAAACCTTGTAGTGGTGGGTGAACAGAGTAAATCCAAGATTTACAACATGACTTAAAATTGTCCAGAAACCGGGGAAACGCGAAGCGAAGACTAGCGAAAAAGTGACTTAATAGTGGAGAGAGAGAATATCACTAGAAGTTTTAGTTGCCCTGTTTAATCACGCTGAGTCTCGCACGATGCATTTTTCAGTGCATAAATGAAAAAATCGCCCACAAATAGAAACTTGTTGAAGGCTTACTAATGCGGTGAAAACTGCAAGGGAGTATACCATGCTGATGACGAAATGAAGGACAAGAAGAATC